CGAATCCTACTGAAAGAAGTCTGATGAGGAAATGTGGTGATTTCCGAAATAGCTATCACTTCAACAATTTTTTCAAATTTTGTTGCTTTTCCACAATAAATTTTCGTTTAAAAAAACGGCCTTGAGCTCAATAAAAATTGTTGAATAAAATTGTTATAAAAGGACAAAAAAATAACAAAAACAAATAACTTAAGGACGAGCACATCTAAAAGTTAAACATTCTAAAAATAGAATTATTAGCAAAAACCAACAGTACCAACAACCACATGATCAAGTGAATTGCAGCGGACTAGCTGCGCTTGATTGTGTTGGCATAACAAAAATGAAAATAGTGGAAAAAAGCAAACGATAATTTACAAGGCGTACTTAGCACGGTGCATAGGCAACTGGCTGAGTCAGTGGGATCGTCGGTTCGAATCCTACTGAAAGAAGTCTGATGAGGAAATGTGGTGATTTCCGAAATAGCTATCACTTCTACCATTTTTTCAAATTATTGTTGCTTTTCCACAATAAATTTTCATTTAAAAAATGGCCTCGAGCTCATTATAAAATTGTTGAATATAATTGTTAAAAGGCCAAAAAAATAACAAAAAACAAATAACTTAAGGACGAGCACACCTAAAAGTTAAGCATTCTAAAAATAGAATTATTAGCACAAACCAACAAAACCAACAACCACATGATCAAGTGAATTGCAGCGGAATAGCTGCGCTTGATTGTGTTGGCATAACAAAAATGAAAATAGTGGAAATAAGCAAACGATAATTTACAAGGCGTATTAGCACGGTGCATAGGCAACTGGCTGAGTCAGTGGGATCGTCGGTTCGAATCCTACTGAAAGAAGTCTGATGAGGAAATGTGGTGATTTCCGAAATAGCTATCACTTCTACCATTTTTTCAAATTATTGTTGCTTTTCCACAATAAATTTTCATTTAAAAAATGGCCTCGAGCTCATTATAAAATTGTTGAATATAATTGTTAAAAGGCCAAAAAATAACAAAAAACAAATAACTTAAGGACGAGCACACCTAAAAGTTAAGCATTCTAAAAATAGAATTATTAGCACAAACCAACAAAACCAACAACCACATGATCAAGTGAATTGCAGCGGAATAGCTGCGCTTGATTGTGTTGGCATAACAAAAATGAAAATAGTGGAAATAAGCAAACGATAATTTACAAGGCGTACTTAGCACGGTGCATAGGCAACTGGCTGAGTCAGTGGGATCGTCGGTTCGAATCCTACTGAAAGAAGTCTGATGAGGAAATGTGGTGATTTCCGAAATAGCTATCACTTCTACCATTTTTTAAAATTATTGTTGCTTTTCCACAATAAATTTTCGTTTAAAAAAACGGCCTCGAGCTCAATATAAATAGTTGAATATAATTGTTATAAAAGGCCAAAAAAATAACAAAAACAAATTATCCAACATTTTAATGTATGCAGATGATGTAAAACTTTATAGATCGTACGTTTCAATTAAAGAAAAGTCTTTGCTACAATTAGATATAACAGCATAACTTACTGGTGTAAAGTAAACTTATGGCTCTAAATCAGAGGTGGGCACTCCCACTATAACACACATGCGCTTGTGTGCTAAGTGCTCATTTACACACGGCGATTTTTGTTGCCGCAACTCGACGTTTGTAGGAGAGAGAGTGACGAGGAAAGGAGAGGGGCACCGAGTGGCTCGTGCTCGGGCAACACGCTTAGTGCTCTCGTTCGTCTGTGTAAATTGAACCCCTGTTGACAGCTGACAACAACAATTGCATACACACAAATCGCCGTGTGTAAATGAATCGAGCAAAAGGGAATGTGAAAAATCGCGTCGACAAAAGTTTCCGTGAATAAACACAGTCTAAGCAGCGAAGTTTTGCTCAACAACCAGTGCTCGGACTTTACCACATTTGTGGAATAGATAACTCTTTTTTTTGCTAAATTACATTTCTACTACTTCTACCACCGTAAGCTAAAACACTTTCGGATTCTTGAAACTTCTTTTTTTTAATTTGTTTATTTACGCATTAATGAATGGGCATTTTCTACAACAAAAAACAACATTACTTGCTGCGAAGTCGACACATGTATTATATGATCGTCTTCGTGCGTCGTACGATAATTGATGATTGACTGATGCTTTGCTAGCACTTCGGCAAAGCAAATCAAATCAGTTGCTGCTGAGACTTTACTGTGCAATTCGAATAATACACACATAAAATCTTTCGGGAGGAATGGGAAATACATTTTTTGCATAGAAAACATGAATGGGTGTGCTGTAACGCGAGCTTTAAGGTTGCAAATACACTTTCAGCAACTCTCCGCTAAACGTACCTCAGCCGTGTATCCATACATGTTGCGCAACATACCCCTGCAGTACGGGGGAGCGACTACTGGACTGCTGAATCAGAAACTACGTGATAAACTCCGCCAATTACCGACCGACTACTTGCAGTGTATTTCATCGATTACTTTTACAAGGAAATGTCCTAGGCGGTTGTTGTAGCGGCCCAGATCGGTTGATATCTCAGTCGTTGTCGTCAAGTTCCACTAACGGAAGCTCAAGGAAGCGTGCAGCTTCTATCGGGTCGGTCCACAAGGACAAAGCCGTTAGGGTTGTCGGGTTTTCCGGGCATGCGAAGAGATGTTTCGAGTCGTGCCGCATGCCGGACACTCATTTGGCACATCCTCATTCAATCTTCTCAGGTAGGAGTTTAACCTGCTGCACTAGCCAGAGCGGAGTTGGGCTATTGTCGTTTGTGTCTCCCTAGGCAGATGAAGCTCCGTCTCGTCTATGTCCGGTGGTGGTATGCCTAGAATGGCATTCACAGGTCTAGAGTCTACATAACTCGAGACTGACTCCCTGTGAATGCCGTTCAGGGCCAGTCGGTAAGCTGACGGGTCCAGAGGTTGCTTGATGAACCTCTGGACTTCGTCCGGCAGTTCATATAGATGCCTCCTAACGTGCCTGTTTGGGTGGCAACTTCTGTGGCTCCCGATCAGGAACTGCTTGCAGAGCATTATGTTGTGCTCCTTTATGGGGAGTATTTGTGCCTCGTTGTGGAGGTGATGTTCGGGCGACATCAGGAGGCATCCTGTCGCTGTCCTGAGTGCGGTGTTCTGTACAGTCTGTAGCTTCGTCCACTGCGTCCTACTAGTCCCCGGCGACCACAATGGCGCTGCGTAGTTTAAAACCGGCCGTTGTATGTTGCCAGCAACGTTTCTTTGTCTTTGCCCCAAGTACTGCCGGCTAGCGACTTGAGGACCTTGTTGCGGCTCTGTACTTTATTGACAATAGCGGTTACGTGCGCAGAGAAGGAGAGCAGGCTGTCGAATGTTACTCCGAGTATTTTGGGATTATTCATCGTATGTAGTCACCATCGGCTCTCTCTGCACTACCGGGAGTGCAATTAAAGAAAAGACCGCTTTAAGTCCTGCTAAGAGGTAAGTGAAGAAAAATGAAATTAATCTTGATGTTGAAATTTTTATTTTGGTTCAAATTAAATAAACTAAAAATGATGAAACGTAAAGTGACCTAAAAATAGTTTAAGGGAAGTGCTGTGAATCGATACTAGAGGGAACGTGATCTCGGTATTCACAAAAGCCTAGATAAATTTAATTAAATCGAGCTAAATTGATAAAATAAAGTATAATTTATAAAATTAAAAAATTTAAATAAAATTTATAAAATTTAATAATGTTAATAGAAATTAAGAAAAGCCTATGAAATGAAATTAACACAAATTAAATTAAAACCAGTTAAATTAAATTAAATGGATCAAAATTATATTGAATAAAATAAAATAAAATTGATGTAACGTAATATAAATAACTAAAATAAAATTAACAAAAGGAAGTCATATTAAGAATTTGAGAATAAATTAAATTTAAAAATAATATTAAATTAAAGTAAATAACAGCAGTGATAAATAAAAGCAAAAGAAGACAAAAGCTATTTAGTTGTAAATTATTCCTGGTGGAAATTAATTGAAATAAACTTCACCTAAATACCGAGTTGTATATGCACCTACATATGTACATACAGATATATTTGAAAAGGGCATATATATATACAGCATCGCATTGGCGTGAATGAGGATTTGGAAAATACCTAAAGTATAACAATACTAAATGTGAGTCGTTTTTTTTTGTTTCAGATTTGCGGCAGGATCGAGTGACGGGGCCAAAATTTGTAAACTTCAAATCAAGTCCTTTACGAAGCAACACGCACTGTAAACGATGGAATTATCGGAACGGGCACAAGATAGGAAATACATAAGGGTGCTATGACCGTAGCCAGATGGGATATTTGAAGAAAAGGAAAATAGAATCCACTGCGAGAGTGGCCCAGGGAGACCCCCGCTTCACATTTACAGTAGCTACACACGACGAGCATATCCGCGCACATGCGCGGCTTGCGGGTCATGTTCGTCGTTTGTAGGGCGGTTTGCGAGCATGCGCGCCAAAAATCAAAAAATTTTGATTTTCAGCGAGCATGCTCGTCGTTTGTAGCGTGGGTTGCGAGCATCGCATTGGAAACAACAACAACAACCTCACTTTGTGTTGATGCTTGCAGTGTGCACATCGCGGATAAATGCATCCAAGCCATGTGCGTTAATTGAATTTTTGATAAATGAGGCTAAATTACTATATGTATATGTATGTACATACATATTAGTAAAATATATATAAATTTAAGTAACACATACATAAAAAACCCTAAGTCATAAGTATTTCAATTGCATCATCCGCTTTGAGTACAAAATCACTTATGAGCCGCTCGCCGTTTGTAGCAAACGACAGCCAGCATGTCGTGAAAAAAAGAGGAGGAGAGCCGTGGTTGAGCGGCAATCTGCAGCTTAACGTCAACTACTCCAACGCCGACGTCAGCGTCAACGGATGCATCCGAGGCAGCAGAGGTTAATTATGGCGGTGGTTTTTTGTTTGTATTTTTTCAGCGTTGAATTAGTAGTAAAGGAGGGTATGGGGTTAAACACCTCCAACATATAAAAAAAAAATAACAAGCGCCGCAGGCGAAAATTTTCACTTTTTAAAATATGGTTTAAAAAAACACCACAGGCAAAAGTAAAAATACACAATATTATGGTTTATATGTATATTGGCCCGTAGTCATAGTCAAAATAAAGTCGACTTTAAAGTTAGTTGCAGCTTTTTGACATAATTTTCAATGGGATATCTGTCAAAAAAGCTGCAACTAACTTTAAAGTCGACTTTATTTTGACTATGACTACGGGCCATTATGTTTATATGTAAACATTTTCATTATTTATCGAAGTATTGATTTTTATGGAAAAAGCGCCGCAGGCTAAAATGTTTAATAAAAAATCGCGCGAATTTGCTNCTTTAAAGTCGACTTTATTTTGACTATGACTACGGGCCATTATGTTTATATGTAAACATTTTCATTATTTATCGAAGTATTGATTTTTATGGAAAAAGCGCCGCAGGCTAAAATGTTTAATAAAAAATCGCGCGAATTTGCTTTGCTATAAAAAAGATTGTTGGACAGTATATGAAATGTGGTTCAACTATAGATCTGTAGACCAGAGTCTTATACCTCCTTCCTAAGTACTTACATAATCTTTTCATGAGATAGATATTTAATGATTCTCACTTTCTCAATTACTTCATCTTTAAATTTTAAACTGTAATTATCGGAGCTAACGTTAGCTGCTCTAGATATGACCATAAACTTTGTCTTGTTCACATTTAATTGCAGTCTGTTTACGCACAACCATTTAAACAAACAATGAAGGTCTTCTTGCATTTTAATCATTGCATTGGGTAGATTACAGTCACTGAGGGTTAAGAGGGTATCGCCGGCGAACAATTTTACCTTACAATACTTCAATACCGAGTTTATGTCGTTGATATAAATATTAAAGAGAATTGGAGCTAACACCGACCCTTGTGGTAGACAAATATCTACTGCTACCTTTGTGGATAGAGCTGTGCAATTCAGAAAAGACAACAGCAGGAAAATTAGAAATATATTGCATAAGAACGGGTATCCACACAAAGCTATTGAGAGGCTGATAGCAACAGCGAAAAACAAGTCAAAAGCAGTGCATTTTAATACTCAACCCGAAACTACAAAGAACGAAAGGTTCACAAAGGCGTCACATATATACAAGGATTAAAGGACAGTAAACAATACAAAAAAGCATCCAAAACAAAAACATAACATTTGCACATAAACCACATAGCACTATCAATAGAATTTTTAGCAAAACAAATGACGAAATAAACAAAGAACAACAACATAAAGTGGTTTACGAAATCAAATGCAGTGGTAAAGCTGGCGAAGCATGCAATAAAATATACATAGGCGCAACGAAGCGCGCTTCGGTGTCAGAAAACGACTGCATTAGCACAACATTTAACGAAAAGTGGACATACAGCAGACCATGAAAACGCGAAAATATTAGATGTGGAGAACAGAGTTCGAACGCGACTAACATTAGAAAGTTTGCGAATACAACAAAAAATAAAGAATGCAATGAATTTTAAGGAAGACGTCGACAATATAAATTGCGCATAAATAAGGTGACCAGAATTTTTTAACATTCCAGGAGCACAAATTCTCCACATTGAAAACACAAAATATATTTATTTTAACACATAAATAACGAATAAATTAACAGTTTAAAGTTTCTGTAAACACAAGTCAAAAGTACACTGCGTTGCATAATTATAAGACCGCCACATATTAGAAAGTTTTGACCATTTATTTTTAAATTATTTAATTTGCATTGTATTACTTGCAAAATAACTTGAATTTGTCTTTTTTTCGTCAAAGTTCGAACATACGTATATATGTATAAAAATGTCATTAATGGTAACATTAACGGCTTTTTTGGAAATATTTTAGCAGTTGCCCCATTAACTAGAAAATTACATACTATTAAATAATCGAAAACAGTTTGTTATTAGTTTTAGGGTCTAAGAAAATCGAAAAAATACTTTAGTATGATATATTTGTGCATCTTTTGTCAGCTTTCACATGACCAGGATGAGTAAAATTGACGACAGCGCAACTAGCAACATATGCGTTTCTACCGTCCATCTCTGCATCCCTTTGGCAGTAGTTCAGAGACAGTTCTGAAATTTGTAGGGCGGAACTAGCGCTTTGCCAGACTGTCCCTAAACTTTGCTGCAGGGAGGTTATGGTTACCCATGATTCAATAATACAAGGTTCGATAAACTGACACTTGTCCCTCTCGGACCACTCCCTTAGCAGCGGCACCGTGATGCTTCTTTGCAAATTTACTTGGAAAAAATGTAGCTTTGGTGTGAAATAGAAGTGTAAGCTTTTGTGCAATATGTTTATTTGTATATGCATATGAAGCACATTTAACTGATTAACTCATAAATTGGTTTTAAATTGGATGTTTACATAAATCTCATAGTAGTTTTATTTTAATTTTGAGCCCTTTTGCAGCTTTTATACTGCCAAATAGCACATACA